TTGCTCGGGCAGAGGAGGACAAACAAAACACGCGTCCTTGCGCAGCATCGCAGTCAGGTCGAGGGTCTCCCGCTTTGATGTTTCCAGTACCGAGTTTTCGTGGGCGCTGTGGAACGCTGCGCTGGGTTCGTTCTCATGGCAACGGCAAGAGAACCGGCTACGACGCGGAATTAACCTGGGTTAATCCAACGTCAGGCAGATACTTTTTGAGGACTTACTCTATGAGTGGAGGAAGTGTCATAGAGCTGAAATGCACAGACCTGAGAGGACACGGTGCCACTGATAAAGTTGTTAGCGGTGAAGAACGGTTTACAGTAGTCTCATGGCGAAGGAGGCGGCTGGGCAATAGCAAATTGTGATGGAGAGAGGCAGCCAGTCTGGCAAAACGTGCTGGTGGCCTTCCTTAGAAGACTGGCACTGCTTTTCGTTAAAAACTTCAGAAGACAGAATGCCAGCTAAATTTGCAGGTAGCACACAGTTCAGAATACCTACTGCCAGCGCAAGATAGTTCAGAATATGCACCCCAAGCAGATGACCTTTATGGCTGTTCGATTCGAAACAGCAATAACAGCAACATCATGCTGGCACTGCTGAGACCATGGATCCGTCTAGCTCAGAGCTTGTCTGAGAAAGCGGGTGCTGAGGAAAGGAAGGTAAGAAAAAGACATCCATGCATGTAACCTCCCAGTTTGTGGTAGAGGTACAACAGTACAAAAGGGAAGATTATGCATTTAGAGATTTGCAACATTTCTTTTCTGTAAAATTCAGTTGAACGTTTCTTTCAATCACACAGTGATCGTAGTGCTGCTTGAACAAATAACTTAGCCTCATGAGATGCCTGCAGGGAATAAGCGGGTCAGGTTCTACATACCAAAAAAAAGGGCAGAGAACAGCTAAAGAGAAATTTCAGAGCATAGCATACTTTTATTACTAAAACAAAGGCTGAAGGGGACAAGAGCTAGTGTTTGTAATTATGTTCTGAGGGAAGAGACAGAGAGGGCAAATAATTTTGCTCAAACAACTTTCTGGCACAAGGAAATGTGAGAATGAAGAGATCACAATGATGTTCATATTGCAAGTATAAGGAAAATGTCATTTAAAGAAAAAAGGGAGGGAGGACCTATAAAAAACTATACATGTTAATGCTAGAAAAAAAGATTGTACTGTTGAGTGCTACTGTTTCCAGTTTACGGAAGCATTCAAACTTGTTTTCCTGCCCTTTGCAATTGCAGTCTTCATTAAAGAGCACCCTGATTTACAGTACTTATTTTATTTATTTTGCTGCTTCCTTATGAAATAGTGATTGAAATAGTTACAGTGTTACATCACTAGGAAAAGAACAATTCAAAACAAGTTTCTTCATGTGCAGTAGAACAAATAAATCCTGACCATCTGAACATCTTTTGCTCTCCTTGTGCTTGCTCCCAGTGTAATAACATTATTTTCCCCACTGTTCTGGATAACCTAACCTTTTTCAGCCACAAGGAGTGTAATTCCCATTGCCCATGCACCATCTGTATCCCCAGGTCTGCTCTACCCTTACACCTGCAGCTTTTCCCTTGGTCCTTCAATATGCACAGTTACTGACCTGTGCAGGTCCTGTGGGCAGGTCAAAAAGCAAGAGATTGACTTTACTGCATTGGGACACTAATAGCCAGTTAGAGAGAGATACTATCATTGCTTGAAGCCAGCACCTGTGGTGACAGAGATGGAGAGAGGAAAGCAAAAAGGAGCAGATATCTGCTTGTAAGAAAACAGTACTTTGGGTAAATGTATTGAGGTTATTAGTACATCACTCATGTAATAAAGTAATAAATTCTGTATAAATGGAGATGTGGGCTAAAGAAGATTTTTTTAAAAACAATGCAGTGTTTATTGTTACAAAAGCAAATAATTGTCATCTGTCCTACAAGAGTGTCTCTTACCTGGTTTATAACTGTCTGGCATGCGCTTCACATTCTGCCCGTATCTAGTATATGGGACACAGAGTAATGTAGACTTTAGGTTCTTATCACTGTGGAGTATACACAGGGGAGACAGGAAAACAGACTTTTTGTTACAAGCTAGTGGTATGGGTGCAGCTATCATCAGTGATTCCCACAAATCACTATTAATTGTTGTCCAGCAGCTTAAGTAGGAGCCAATTCCTTAGTTTTCCATCTCACAAAAATATGACTTACAACATGAACATTAACAGTTTGTAACACTGTCTAGATATATGGGTATACAGAAATACTTTGAAGTTTCCTTCTGGGGCCCAAGAGTGCTTTTTAAGATCAGTTGAAGCCATTATGTGTTTTTTTGGTCTCTGCTTTCATGGAACAGTATGTGCAGCAGCCTCTTGCATGTGAAAGTAGATGTGAAAGGAAATTACAAAATAGCTCTTTCTAAAAAAAAAAAAAAAAGAAATGCCTTTCAGAGTAAGTTGATCGTGAGACCAAAGTATGTGGTACTTGATGGAAAAACAACACAGTACAGATTGTTAAACAATCCCAAACTTCCAATTTCTCAATCATTTTTTTATGTCCTTGTTGGACAATCAGTACAAAGACCACAGGCAGTAAAAGAAAACTTCAGGTAATTTAAGTATCATACTAATTCTGCGTAATTTTTACCTTTTCCTTACTGAAAGCAAAGACTGTGTATTGTTCAGTATCATGACTGCACACCGTGAGGATATAATCTCAGTGCTTTATCCCTTTCTTTATTTGTTCTTAGTTTCTTAGTCATGTTCTTTCATACCTATTTATATTTTACAAGTACTTTGATACAGCTTGTTAACTCTGTCACATCAGCAATGAGAATACCATTAGTGATAAAAATAGTAATCCACCAGGTTTGACATCTTCCAAAAGGATTGGATGGCAGCTTAGCAAAAATTGGATGACTGTTAGAACATTTATGATCATTATACAAGTTTACCTCTGTTTACCTAACAGATTTTCTTAGTTAAGCTGCAGTGAAATACATTTTACACAAATGGTATCTATAGCTTTAAAACAGCTAGAAATGAACATGTAACAGATGCTGTACAGCTACTGTATTGGCTGTCTTGTACTATCCCAGCTTACAGGTAATGCCTGTTTCCCATTACTGACATTTATGTTTATTGTCAAGGTTCATTAAGATCTTTTGAAATAATATAACATCATTTCATGCTCTTCCCTTTTGTGTGTAAATCTCTGGTCATTGGCTTTTTAAAATAAGCACTGACACAAAAAGAATCCAGAACCTCAGGGCAGTAACTGTCTTACTTCCTGCTTTAGAAAGGGTAAAGTACACTACTGTTTTTTCTAATAATACATCGATGCTGTGTCATACAAACATACAAACAGCTTTGCAGAGGAAAAGAACTGATATGCAGCTATGAATCTTTCAAATTAAAAAGCCTACAGAAGATCAAGAAAGTCTAAATTTTCAGTCTATATTATCAAGTGCCAAAGAAATAGCAAGTTGGAGGTCTCATTGCATTTTTCCATAGAGCTGACTTTGAAGTAGTACTTCATGTCATCTAAGGTGGAGACATGGACCGAGACAAGACACAGCATGGGAAGACATAGCAAGACACAGCACAGCATCTAGCTTGAGTTCCACTCTGAACTTAGACAGTCTTTGCTTATACAAAGCACACATAGTTTTTAGCAAGTTGAAGCATTATTCCAGAGAATTTTAAATAAACTGAAATTATGTTTTTGTTCTGAATTATTTTAATAGGATTCTATTAGAAAAGTTTGATAATGATACAATGCAGCCTCTAAATCCTTTCATCTAAAATAGTTGTAAATAAGTTAGCTTCAAGAATTCAGGACATAAAACCAGCTTTTTCCTTTAGCATATTTTCATACTGTTCTAAGTTAGGAGTCACTGACAAGAAGTGGGTCAGGTTACCAGGACGGGTTTCCACATTAAGTGACAACCTCAATCATTAAGGGCCAGTGACTTTGACTGGTTTGCTTGCTCACCCTCAGAAAGTGAGGCACTGCAGCACAGGTGTGTCAGTTGATTCAGTGCAAGCAAAGCCTGTCAAAGTTCAGGGATACTAGGATGTGTTCAGGGATACTAGTTACCACATCATGCAGAGGTGATCTGGGCTTACTCTCCCTGGCCTCAAGTCCATTTATACCTGTGTTCCCAGAAAAGCTGCCGTCCTCTCATGAAACCATGTCACCTCTTCATTTGGTTCTCCACACTGTTCTTCAGCAGTGTAGAAAGCAAGAAGGACATCTACGTAGACCTTTGAGGACTAAGATTATCACTGTTTTATGTTTCAGAAATTTTCTGGTTTGGAATATTAGTAGAAGAAACATATTTTCACAGCATTCAAAGTCCTGAATACATAAAACTTGTATGTACTGGAGATACTAGTACATACCTGTTCAAGATCTTTTATCACTCTTAATGGTGTTTTTACTGTGGATACAAGCCTCTGGGCATGAGAAGTTGAGTTTTTTTCATTTAAGTATAATTACAACTGCAGTTCTCCCAAAAGAGATGAATACCAATGGTGTCAGTTGCAACAGATTTATATTGCAATGATCATTAAGTACTTGAAAACAATTATGTGATGTCAGCCACAGGCTGAAGTTAGGTGTTAAATGTAACCGGAGTGGCACCTGAACTGCTGAACAGGAACTGACACCTTGAGTCATCTTTGACTCAGCTGGCGTGCTTGGACTAAACTTCTGAAGATCAAAGATTAACAATCTATAGTCTTGCTTTTCGTGGTTATGCTCATATAGATAGCAGAATAGACCCTTGTATAAATTGGTTTAGTGTCCCCCTGTGGAAACACTGAATCTTACATACTTCTGTGCATTTGTGTTTCAGTAAAAATCCTAAATTGTTCCTACTGCACTCTATGCAACAAGATTTTAGGCTGAAATTCTCATCCAGAATCTTTTTTTTCTAGCCTGCAGAGGTTAAAATCTAGTCACTTTGGATCTGAAAACCATTATCTCAAACACTTCACCTCTTTTGTTCTGTCTGCCCCATGAATGCTGCTGTGACAGAGCCTGATACATACAGCACAGCAACTTTAAAATATCCCCAAATTTACCTACCACAACTCCCACATTCAAATCTGAACTTCACCAAAATCAAGCTGTCCGCGGCCCTTCTTGCATGGCCTGCACACAAAGGGAGGTTACTGCTTGCTTAAAGCTGCAGTCACTCTTGTCTTTGCCATCTGCTTCCTTCAGATGCTTTTGTTTTCATCTGCATAATAAAAATGGTTTGAATTACTGTAGAACATGCAATTGCTTCTAACGAGTAGTGTCTTAGACCGGTAAATCATGCCTACGAATTTTAAGCTCACTAATCTAAGCTAACACACCTTCATTTCTATTTTAGTTGTCTAAACAAAGGATCAGTTGCACAGCTAAGCAGATGAGTGATTACTTAAGCAGTGCTCTCTCACTTCTGTCTGCCTGTAATATGTTTGAATTATCCTATGCCTAACTAGATTAAGCTGAAGCTGAAAATTATAGTCTTCCAAATTAAGTCCCTGAACTTTCCTGAAATAATGTCTGAAGTAGCTTTTTTGATTCTTTTGCTGTTTGTTTATTTTAACATAAATAAACCCATACTATACATTCAACACTTTATAATGCTAAACATTCAAAAAGCAGTGATCCTGTCCTGAGACTCTTCTCAATCAGAGCCACCAGCAGATCCTGCTGCGAAGGGAACACTCGGAGCAGGTTTCAGAAGTGTCCTCAGGGCACACTGGACATATGCTCTCCTCTAAGATGGATGCTGTAGGGTAGGATAAGTAGCACTGGGGAAGTGTTTCAGTGCAATCTGTGGCTACCTATCTGATACAATCAAAAGGTTGATCCATGTCTGCCTGGAAAACTGCATGTAGACTTCTGCCATCTGTTTTGATGGAGGCTGTGGGGTTGAGTAAGATGTCTCCAGAGCACACAGAAATATTTCAGTAACTTGGTCTTTTAATTGCACTTTAACTTCTTATTATTTTTGTGGCTAGTACTTCTAGCTGGAATTCTGAGTTATGAATACTAGTATTTATCCAGTACCTGCTTTCTTACAAAGTGTATGAAGGGTCTGGCAAAGACAGTTCAAGGGTGGAAAATTTACTCTTGTATTTGTGTTAAAGAGAGTATTTGTGTTAAAGAGAGCATAGATGAATTTGGATCCTTAAGCACAGGCAGATTCGCTTCCATAAAAAGCTTCCCAACCAAGAGATAGGAGTTGAAGAAGGATATCTTATGCAAACTTGTAACAGGAGCTAATATAAGAAGGCATGGACTAACATCTGTGAGCACTCTGCGCTTTGAATCACTATTATTTTGTGTTGCTAATATGATCTTAGTTTCTCTTTTTGAAAGATGTTTTCACATACCTACATAGCATGTAAATATTTGCTTACTGATCTTAGTACTTTCTTATTTTTCAGACTCTCCACATAATGGCAGCACACCATGGCTCAGAACTTTTGCATTCTCTGTTTTAAGTCACCATGATGACCTTATACCTGTGGAAGATGATACTGAAAATGACTCAGAAGTTGGATCAGGAGCCACCAATCAGACCATATTCCTACATGGAACAGTGTCAGTGCAAACAGCAACATACCTCACGAGTCCATGGCTGACGCGTTTTGTTCCTTCAGTTTACACCTTAGTGCTTGTGCTGAGTCTCCCTCTGAACATTACAGCAATACTCATATTTCTGAAAAAAGTGAAAATTGAAAAGCCAGCAGTAGTGTACATGCTGAATTTGGCTCTGGCAGATGTCCTATTTGTCAGTGTGCTTCCTTTCAAGATTGCTTATCACTTTTCTGGAAATGACTGGGTTTTTGGATCTCATATGTGCCGTTTCATCACTGCTGCCTTCTACTGTAACATGTACTGTTCAATAATGCTTATGACAAGCATAAGCTTCGATCGCTTCTTAGCAGTGGTGTATCCCATGCAGTCTCTTGGATGGCGTACATTAACACGTGCCTCACTGGTTTGTTTCAGCATATGGCTTGTAGCAATAACTGGGGTTGTACCTTTTCTCATCAGAGAGCAAACAATGGAAATACCCAAGTTAAATATAACCACTTGCCATGATGTGTTAAATGAATCTGAACTTCATGGCTATTACCTCCACTTCTTCTCCATCTTCTCTTCTGTGTTTTTTGTAGTGCCATTTTTAATTTCTACTGTCTGTTATGTGTGTATCATTCGATGTCTTAGTTCTTCTACAATTGTTGCGAAACAAAATAAGAAGACACGTGCCTTGCTCTTGTGTGTGGCTGTTTTTTCTGTATTTGTTCTTTGCTTTGGACCAACAAATGCCCTCCTGTTAATTCACTATATCCATTTTTCCTATGACAACAGCTTAGAGTATCTCTACTTTGCCTATCTACTTTGTGTTTGTATCAGCAGCATTAGCTGTTGCATTGACCCCTTTATTTACTACTTTGCCTCTTCTCAGTATCAGAGACAACTTTTTAGTCTCTTCAATTGTAAAAAGACTTTGGATCCCAACTGTAGTAGCAGTGGCCAGTTGATGTCTAGCACTAGTAGAAGGGCTACATGCTCTACTAACATGAATAACAGCATCTACAGGAAATTACTAGCAGTGCATTGAGGTAATCATAGAATCATAGAATGGCCTAGGCTGAAAGGGACCTTAGAGATCATCTAATCCAACCTCCTTGTCATGAGCAGGGACGCCTCTCAACTAGGTCAGGCTACTCAAGGCTCTGTCCAGCCTGGCCTTGAACACCTCCAGGGAGGGGGCAGCCACATCATCTTACACGTAATGTCTTACACGTGCTGAGATTTTATACAACTCCAGACTAAAAAAGACTGTATTATATACAAGAAATGCAAAACCGTAAACCAGGTTGTTGTACAATACATAGTTCTATGGATTTATTATAGTAATGCACAAATTATAACTCTGTATATGTATATATATATAGTATATGTAAATAGGTCCATGTAAAGGGGATAAGTAATTTCTTAATAATAGCTGCTGAGTGTTTTTCAAATAAACTTTTTTTTTTCAGGCAAAGACTGCATTATGAGTTCAGTTTATTTCAGGAGTTTTATGAAATTACAGGATTTTGCACTACCAAGTTGATTACATTCTTACTTAGGGAAACACTCGATCTATCCAGTACTTCCTGAAGAAAGTGAAAATCTTTCCAGGCTTTTTTTTTTAATTTGTCACTATTTCTGGAATTAACTGTAAACTTCATTGTTTTAGCATTATTTTGCACCTGGGACACTGAAACCGTTTATTTTACATTTTTTGTATGTATATTCCACTTCAAAGCAGTCTGCATGGTTTTAGGAATGTGAACTGAAAAACAGGTACTGATTAGTGCAATGTGTCAGGAGAGATAATTCTCATCAGCTAGAACTCACTTTTGTTCTGGCATGCCTACCACTAGGGTATGCTAGGTGTCTTGGTTAGGAATGTGGTATTTTTCACAGTTCATTTTACAAAACATTTATGAAAATCTGTTTCACAACAAATCAATGCTGAATGGCATTCCAGAAGATTTACTGGAAAAGCTGTATTCATCATCTTGTTATGCCGTTCGCAAACCTGTGCCTTTGTGCACATGATTAATCATCATGCACATGTTTAGGACCTGGAAATATCCTTTATCCTTACTAAGCCCGGATGTTTCTCATATTTTACATTGTGTCCAGTAGTAAAATTGCTGTTGAGTAGAGCCCGATGGCTAACTTCATTTTGCTTAGCATTCTTGTGCTACAACGGACACTAAAGCCAAAGAACAGAAATTCAGTTTTAGAAGTGAAAATGTAGGTAGTAGGACCATATATGAAAATGGAAATCAAATGAAGTAAGAATTTGGTTGTTGCAGGATTTGCCATAGGAATCTGTCACAAAGTACAGCAATGGTTAAAAGCTGTCTTCAGTCCAGCACAAGTGATAAGAAACATAACCTTTCTGTATACAGTGTGACAGTGGGAAACTTTTCTAACCATGATCTTTTCTCAGTTTGTGTTCCTTAACAGACTTAACCATATTTAAGTATTACATTACCATGGTTGCTCTAGATTTTTGTTCTGAGGTATTTTCCACTTTCTTCATACATGAATGCTAAAAATACATGTATATGTAATTTCTCAGGCTAAAACTCCACAAATGTTTCCGAGACATATTCAGTCACATTTTTATTTTGTTTAATGGCATATTAGCAGTGGTTTCAGTTTTCAGCAAAATCCAAATGCATCTTAAAACTACGAACATCCACTCGCTAGCAGGAAAGAGAAATATCTCTGTGTTTCTTATAGTTGCAGGCTGGGGGATTGCTGTTTTAGAACTATTATATAGCTCCTACTTCATGATATTTTTTTATGATAGCAGTTTATTTTTACCTAGCCAAAACAGACCATCTAGTCTGCTTTGTAAGGGGCAGTACATGCTGGAAGGGAAGGCCATATGTGGACAACAGCTTGGCAATCATGGCGATTATTTACTTAATTTTGCTCTGTGGTTGGGTGCTTTCACTTTGTAACCTCTGTGTGCTTCAGAACATTTGCAAATGAGCAACTTCCTCCTGCCTTGTAGGGTAAAAAAATGAGTGGGGTTAATGCATCTGTTTATCCTCATGGGTAAGAGCATCAACAAAGATCCTGAGCAAGAATGACTAGAGAAGATGTTACGCATGTTTGTAAACAAGTATCCCTGCTCAGCCACACAAAACTGCTGGAGTTGAGTTTGTTGATGATTCTGGCTTGCACGCAAACAAAAGGAAAAAAGGAAAAATAGGAAGGGAGTTACAGCACAGAACCTTTAAATAATGACTCACAAACTAAGTAGACTTCCCCACTTCTTGGTAACTAGCTAAAGTGCTGAAGTTGCCTTTGGAAAGTATTTTTATGTTGCCTAAGCATGTTTGAAAACAGGACGCTTGACACACTTGAGGAGTGGGCCCAGGAGAACGTCATGAGGTTCAACAAGGCCAGATGCAAGGTCCTGCACCTGGGTCGGGGCAACCCCCAGTATCAATACAGACTGGAGGATGAAGGGATTGAGAGAAGCCCTGTCAGGAAGGGCTTGAGGTAATGGTGGATAAAAGCTTGACATGAGCCAGCAATCTGTGCTCGCAACCCAGAAAGTGAACAGATTCCTAGGCTGCATCAAAAGCAACGTGGCCAGCAGGTCAAAGGAGTTGATTTTGCCCTTCTGCTCTGGTGAGTCTTCTCTGAAGTCTTCATTACAGGAAAGACATGACCTGTTAGCATGAGTCCAGAGAAGGGCCACAAAAATGATCAGAGAGGTGGAATTCCTCTTGTATGAGGACAGGGTGAGAGAGTTGGGGTTGTTCTTGTAACAAAGACAGAGGGACACTTTTTACGAGAGACTGCAGTGACAGGACAATGCGTTAATTATTTTGAACTGAAAGAGGACTGGTTTAGACCAGATAAAAGGAAGAAGTTTTTTACAATGAAGGTGCTGAAACACTGGAACAGGTTGCCCCGACAGGTGGTAGTAACCTCATCACAGGAGGTGTTAAAGACCACGTTGTATGAGACTTTGAGCAACCTGACCTAGTGAAAGGTGTCCCTGCTTATCGCAGGGGGATTGGACCAGCTGAACTTTAAGTGCCTCTTTCAGGCCAAACTATTCTATGATACATGCATAGGAACTCTACTCATACAGAGGCTCTGCAAGTGCTTCTAGCAAGCTTTTTGCTAGCCTGCGGATGCATGTTGCAGTTCCATAAGCAGAAGTGACTAACAATTGCCACACAGCATAACACTTGCTAAAGCATACAGCAAATATCACCTTTTCATAGCAAAGGAAGCATTAACAGTTATTCCTTCTTTTAAGCTGCCACAGCTAGAGTCACACCTCTGCTGTTAGTATTTTGTTGAGACTTCAGCCTGATTGGATTGCAAAAATAAGCAAACTGCTACGTGACTGGAGGAGTTTCATACCAAGGCAATGGCAGCTGAATTCTTACTAAATTTGGGTATCTGTGCAACTGGTTAGTTGGAACATGCTACAGCTCTCAGTGTGCTTTTGCTGTTGTTTTTGATGTCAAGAAGAAGGGCAGGACCTGCTCAAGCAGAAGCAGTTTATGGAGCCAACCTCAAGCACAAGCAGCCTTTGAAACACAGGTCATAACTGCTGAGCATGGCCATGGAGCAAAGCACAATGTGGTAGTCTTTTTAGGAAACCGAACCAGAAAAGTACCACACTTTAGACAGACATGCTCAAGTAAACAGGAAGAACTAACCATCAGCTTGTCTCAGGAGGAAGGGGAACAACTGAAAACCTGACCAAAAGAAATGAAACCCAGTGCTGTTTAACCCATGCTTTCTCCTGCCTACTTTTTTCCACTATAATGTTGGGGTTAAGCTGCATAATTTTGTGTATGAATCAAGCTAATCTGTGCCAAGAACATCCTGAGATGAGGAAATGTCAGGCACTAACCATGCATAAGAAAGATTGCTAATGTTCTAGATATCCCAGCTTCATGTTGTGGCAATATTGGCAAGGGCAAGATTTGCAATCAGCACGGTTTCTTGTGGCAGAACACCTCCTATAGCAGCTGTCATTGGTATGACTTATTTCACTGAGGAAGGTTTGCTTAATTTAGCATGGCAAGGATTTTGCTGGGGTTGGTGCATACACACTAGAAGTATTTCATTAGTTAATGCCAAGCATGCATCTGCCTTATAACTTTGACTGTACACAAAGCATGCTCTGTTGCCCTGTTTAGTTGAATCCTAGCCAGAAACACAAGTATGGCCACAAAGTGTGTGTTCATTTTGTTTTGCATCAAGCAAACTGGATCAGGCCACTGGATCTCTCCCTACCTGAGACAGGATCCAGAAATGGAAAAAGAGTGTGTGGGCTGGCTAATAGATTACAAGCTATTGCTTTACACCAGAGCTCTCCAAGAGCTGGAAGAAGAAAGAGAATGGCCTGATGTGCCAGGTGCAGCAAGTAAGTAACTTCCCGGGTAAGGCCTTTTTTATTATCATTCTCATCTTTTTTGTTCTGATCAGTTTTTTTTACTCTGATCAGAGTAAGGCCTCTCACACATTTAAAATTCATTACCCATATAAGTGCTTTTTCATGGCATTTTGCATTTTGCAAATATAGAATGCATTTTTACATTTTGGTTACGTGATATGCAAATATCAGTAAACGGTTTAGTGATAGCTAATGCAGCTGGAGAAACGGAACAAATAACATGCTATAATCCAAGTCAACACTAGAGAGCATTAGAATAACTAGGTATGGCTGTAATTTGACTTGTTGAGGAGACCATTAGAAACCACATCTGAAAGTCATACTGAACTGCAAAATACTGATTAGCCCTCTAAACAAACATGGATTTGGAAAGGCAAAAAAGTGTTGGAATGGTGTTGGAAAAGTGGGTGACTATATTTTAAACAGAAGCCCTAAAAGGCTTCAGCAAAGTCTGGGGAAATAATTTTTCTTATCTTCATGCTACCATCTTCATAACAGTGGCACTTTTAAGTACCGCAAACGGGCCTCTCTATTCAAAAGCAAGGCCTGACTCTAAAGCGCGACACTAAGCTCAAATTCTTTGCACACATCAGTGTAACCCGCCAAGGTCAGAGCTGTAA